GAGCCAATTAACTGCAGTGAGTAAAGATCATACTGAATCTGACTAAAATATGATAAGCAAAAACCTTCCTTGCATCCCAATGAAAAGTCACTAAAATAATGTTAAACTGAACAGTCAACTGGAGGACTCATTTTGTGATACAGTGTTCCAAAACATTAATCAAAGGATACATAGACACTATAACAGTCCAGTATGTGACAAAAAGAAAATACTTTGCTATCATCATTGTTAAGAGCACAAACTAAAGCAGTGTTTCTCAAACTTCATTGAACCACGACAACCTTCTGACAACAAAAATTGCTACATGACTCCAGGCAAAGGGACCACGTCCAAGGCCACTGCCCCTGGAAAGAGGGCCAAAAACTGAAGCCAAAGCTTTAGGGCTTAAGCTTTGGGTAGTGGGGCTCAGAATTTGGTTTCAGCCTTTCCCCACCCTTCAAGACTAACACCAGCCCAGGTGACCCCCTTAAAACAGGCCTACGACCGACTTTGGAGTCCCGACCCAAAGTTTCAGAACTGCTGAACTAAAGAACATAACTTACAAAGCTCTGATATCTTTATGTATTAAAAGTAAATCTTGCAAAAATATATTGAAATCTTCCTTTAGTATGTTGCCAACAGAATATTAAATCTGAGGGTCTAAATAATTTTGGGTGGTAGATGGATACAGTGTTAGGACGCAAAATATATCGTTTATATTACCAGAGATTTTCAGTCACTTTGAAAAATAACGTGGCTCTCAGCTCAGAAATGAATGCACAAGATTTCTGCTGCATCTGTCACCCAGGGCTGTGAAAATCAGAGCCACATTTAAATATGGTATTAAAGCCTCTCATATGGAGCCTAATTCTAATTTCATTTCCATTGCTGAAACTCCATTGACTTCAGTAAAGTATCAGATTTACACTGAAGGAAATCAGAGCAAAATCAAGCCCACAGATCTTGATGCCACCGTAAAATTTGCTTTAACTGTGTGGTCTTATGCTAAGGGGATCCGTGCAATATTGGTTATGGTTGTTTGCCTGAAGCTGATTCCTCAGTTGAAGTCAACTGGCATCAGCTGGTGATCTGTCTTTATATTTAGATCACAAGCAAAAAATAAGTTTTCTGGTCTTAGGTTAACATCTATTTGAGCACTCTGTAACCGGGTGGCCTGCTGGGGCCTTGGCGTCCCCTCCAACTCAAGGGCCGCTACCCTGATCCGCCCCTGCCCCCGGCTTCTAATGCGCCGTCCCCACGGTCCACGCCTGTCAGTCTCTCTCTCTCATCTCCCCCGGCGGCTTCTCCGGGTGCCGTGTCCACCGCACCGCTGCTCCGGGTCGCTGGCTGGTCCGGCACGGTTCCTAGCGCAGGGCTCCCCGTCCGCCCTCTCCGGGCCGCCTCGGCTGTCCCCGTCGGCCGGCTCCGCTCCAGGTCTTCTCTGGGCTGGGTCCCCTGCTGGTCCGGCGATCCGTCCTGCGGAGGAGGCTGAGAGCAGAATCTCCCCTGCTCTCCGCTTGCCTCCCCCCTTCCTGTCTCTTTCCCCCTCCTTTTAAACTCCCCGCTCGGCGTTTCTCCCGCCCCCGCCCTTCCTGGGGCCGCCGCCGTCTCCCTGGGTCCTAAAGCCCCCCCGCTAGCCTCCTGCCTATTGGGAGCATGCGCGCCCGCCATTTTAGTTTTCCCCGCTTCTGCAGGTTGCCCTGCCGCACTGCGCCGGCTCCCCGGCGCCCACTGATCTTCCGCGCGGGGTCCGGGGCTGTGGACCCTGCCTCTGTTAGTGCGGGGGTGAGTCCCCCCGTCACACCCCTCCCCCAGGGTCTCTTTCGCCTCCAGTGCGGGGGTGAGTCCCCCCGTCACACACTCCACAAAACTGCCAACCTCTTCTCAAATAGAGCCCGGGACTGGAATAGCAGGGTGTGCTGCAAGACAGCAGCAGGAGGAACTGGGAGAGCTCTGTAAGAGATTTCATGTCACAACTTCCATTCTGTCTGGTTCAAGCCTACATCCTACAGCAAATTCCCTGCATTTTGGAGCACTATGTTCACTTAGAAGCTTGTAAAAAAAGAAGTGGTACTAAAAGTAGAAAGTTGTGATATATTTCACTACATCCATTAAGAGAGGGATTTTTTTAAGGTTTCAGCTGGCAATTGTACTGCAAGAGTTCGAAAGTCCAATAACCAGGTAATTTATAGACACACAAGTGAAAATGTCAAAGAGAAAAATAAGTGGAAATAAAACTCTTATTAAAAACACCAAACTAGGATTTGAAAATACTTCACAGGGGATAGACATGAGGATTGCTTGGCTAGGAGGAGGTGTCTGATTAGGAGACAGTATAACTTGAGGGTTACAGGCAAAGGGCAGACCAGAAGGTTTCAGGTTGGCTGACTGACTGATCCAATGAGAGACTTTGGCAGAGGAAGCTGATAGTCAGATCCCTCATGAGATCAGACCAATTGCACAATATACTAAAAAAAATGAGGACCTGGAAATTATATTTGAATTTTCTGCTGTGGGGTAAGCTTGTTCTTGCATAACAGCACTGGCACATATAAGAAATGTCATTATCATTTTAAAGAACTATCTATTCCTGCTTTATTACCCAGATCTTTCTAATTATTACTCTTGGCTCTCTGTTATATGCTATTCTCCCATATTCGGATTCAAAACAAAATAGCCAGAGACATCGTTGTATTTTTAAAAGCTTCAAAACAGCCACTGCTGCCCTCTCAATGGCATCATACACAAAAGCCAAAGTGATGACATGACAAAAATATAAATACTTGACAAACCTGTTTTTCCCCAAAGACAAGTTAAATCATTGCCACTGTCAAAGAGTAGCAGATGTTCAGGGCCACATATCCAGCAGATACATTTGTGAGGCAGATAATTAAAAAAGAAAAAGATTTTGACATCTCTGCCTTTGCACAGTGTTGCTTTTAGTACTAAAATCTTAATATCTGCAGAGGACTTGCTGCTGACAAGTTTTCTGCAACTACTGAATTTTCCCTAAAGGAGAAATTTACTCCAATTATTTTTGCACTGGGCAGAGATATATCAACCTAACAAACCGATATCTAAAGGACACCCGATAGAGACATTCCATCTGCTTTCATCACTAGTTAAGAGTATCTTCAACTTTGAAACTGTTTACATAGTCCAAGAATGACATTTAGAAGTCAGTAGATAGGTTTAAGGTGAAATTAGCTCTAAGTGCTTAGCATATGCTCTTCAAAATAAAATATTTATTCTGAAAAAATATCTATAACCTTGATCATACAAACTGCAGAAAACTGTTGATTTAAGTTTAAATTTTAACTCATTTGCTGAATGGCTTTATTGAATACTGAAGACAGTGTTTCTGCTGCTGTTTTTGTATCTGCTTATAGTCTTTTAGCGAATATTTCTTTGTTTAAGGACGTGAACTAGATGTAAATGACATTGTAATTTTTCTAACATTTAAACTGAGATTTCATCAGCTGTCTGTACTGAGAGAAAGAACATTCTTTGCTCCAGTGAAATTAGCCAATAATCCCATTATTAGAAGAAGGAAAAAGTGAGACTTTTTGTCCCTTAAAATGTTGCTAAGAAAAGTTCAAAGATGTGATGTTGTTTAGAGATCAATGAAAACTAGATGGAATTTAAATATTAAGAGGCATGAATTTGCCTTCAGGTAAAAGATGATATTTGCATAATAACGAGAATGACTCATATGCTCGGAGGTGAAAGTCTGACTAGAATCTAAAATTCAGGCGCTGGAATGATCTTTTACCTTAGATGGCAATAGGAAATATGCTAATCTCGGGGAAGTTAGTTGTCCATCATATTCAGCATTTTCCATAGGAATGAAATGGATAGAATTCACAAGCAGGATATATGTAACAAGAGACTGAGCCAAATTTTCGTCACAGTTACACAGGTGCAATTCTCACTGTTTTTAATAAAGCCAATGGATTTTACACCACCTGGCCAGATATGCAGTTAGCAAACGAGCAGAGTCAATATGTTATTTCTAAAGTGCTTCCTTAGTCAAAATTCCCACTGAGAGTTTTGACTGAACAAGAGTTCCAAGATCCATTATGAAAATTCTGAAGTTTTCCCTATTTGGTAATAAATGCAAGCCTAATAACTTTCATTAATGCTTTTGCTTCATCTTTCTCTCTTGCTGCTTTTCTTCTCACTCTTTATTATTCCTTGCTCCTTATTTTACTTTTTTTCTCTCTTCCTCTGCCCACTTTGGTCTCCTCACATATGTCTACCCATCAAACATGTCTGTAATTTCCTTTGTGTGTTTTATATGTATAGGAGCAAATGCAATGACCTATCTGCTAAACGAACTTTCTCATCTGCATGAAAGACCCAGCCTTCAAAATTGGGTATTTAAATCTATATTTGGTCACCTGATTACTTTTGGAAAGCACCTAAGGCTATGTCTACACTGCAGAGAAAAGTCAGAAAAAGATATGCGAATTGCAACCCCCTTTTTTTTTTCCAGAAGAGGCTTATCTGAAATTTGGCCCATCTACATGGGGCCAAATTTCAGAAAAAACTCCTCTTTTGGAACATCCCTTATTCCTCTCACTGAGAGGTATAAAGGGATGCCAAAAGAACATGTCTGCTTCTTCAGAAACTGTTCTGAAAAAGCGGACACACTCCCTGGATACGGCAGAGCTCTGCAGTCTAGACCTAGCCTAAGTCAGGGGCAGCCAAGCTTATTAATCCGACCCATGTCCCGTCCCTGCGACATGGAGTAATGCCGCTCAAAGTGGCTGGCTGCTCCCTGTGGTAGTCTGCATTTTAGAGGCAGGGGAGGGAGGCTTAGTGTGCTGCCCCCACTCCCAGCACAATATCTCAACTCCTATTGGTTGGGTGGGGGAAGTTTAGCATGTTTTCTCAGCTCCCATTGGCCAGTTTCTGGCCAATAGAAACTGAGAGGTTTTGTTGGGGGTGAGAACAGCACACAAAAGCCTCCCCACACATCAAATAGAGCCTCATGCAACTGTCAGCTGCTTTGAGCAGTCTGGGGCTGCTGGCAGGCAGGGAAGCCTGCTTGAGACTGCTGCTGGCTGGGAGCTTCTTAGGTAGGTGCCCCCTGGACAGAGTCTGCCTTTGGCATCCCACTCCCACACACCAACTCCCTCCCAGACCCTACACCTGCTTCTATAACACTCCATCAGGCCAGAATCCTCTCCTGCACCCATACCCCTTCCCAAACCCTGCACCCCAATTCCCTGTCCCAAGTCACAACCCCCTCCTTCACTCTAAACTACCTCTCAGACTCCACATCCTCTCCTGGACTCAAATCTCTTACCCCGAGCTCACTTCTTCACCCAACCTCCATCCCTGACCCCACAGCCCCTCCATAGCAAAGTGCGGCCCCTGATCACTCATCAGAAATTATTGTCCACCCCTGATCTAAATTTAGGTACCCAGTTCAACCATAACATACATTTTTAACACCTTTAAAAACTTTCTGTTACAGCTGCCATAATGGGCCCAGTTCTGTCTGCAGATAAAAGACACAAGTTGCGGCACCCATTGACTTCCAAATTCCAGTCTCAGTTACACCAGTATTATTTCCAGTTAAGTCAATGGAGATAATCCAGATTTACAGATTGAACCCCTATGAACTTCATTCTTGATCACACTCTGATGAGAATCAGAGCTGGCATTGGAGTGTAAACAGATATGGTACTAGCCGCCTGGTGGCCCTGTGCAGGTATGTTTTGCACAAACACACACACCCTCAACACATATAGGGATTCTGCCTTGAACTGCTCAGAGCCCTAAGCAATTGCTCAGTCTGATTACACCCTGTGCTATATGTAAAGCCAATCTAACTAAGCAAAGAGTCAGGCCATTGTTTCTTTTACTGAGGTTAACCATTGCAACAAATTTCTGTGTGGTGAGACTGAGTGAGGAGGTGCTGTGGCGACAGTTGTGGTGCAGAGAACATGGCTGATCAGTAGGGTGGGAGCTGCCAGCTGCATTATCTTTAGAATGATCAACTTTGAAAAAAAAATCCTTTATTAAAATTAACATACAAAGAATATCAGCAGAGATTTGTTTTTACAAACATTAGGAGCCAAGTTCTTCCAAAGCAGCTAAGTTGTACTCAGTGATAATGTGGATCATGCCATATTTCAAGTCCTCTGATCAGGGCCACTGATGTGGAGGAGGGGAGCAAAAGTGAAAGCTGCCAAGGCACCTATTGATTTAAAAGGACTTCAAGCTCCTGCCGCTGCTGTAGTGGCTGGGGGCCCAGGGCCCTTTAAATAGCTGCCAAAGTCCCTGGCTCCTCCGCCTTTCAGCCCAGGGTCCTAGCAATTCCGTTTTCAGCCCTGCCCCTGAACCTGGGGCCACTGGATGCTAGGCCAGTTCCCAGAACACAATTGTGCAGCCTGAAGACTACTCTATTTCACCTGAGTTGCCAACCACTCACCAGGGTTATCCTAACAAATGGGCACAGCAATATCTCAAGTCATTCCCTTTTGTCATGGTCATCAACCCTATGACAATAGTTGTGTGCTACAGATTGCCGGCCCATTAAACAGAGTTAGACTGCTTTGAACCACCAGTATGGTGCAAGAAGCCATGAGCAACTGGAGAATCCTGCCAGTGGATTACATTGAAAGGAGCAGTCTATTTTATGCCATTTTATCTAGCAAAAGATTCCATTTAAAAACAAATCATATTCCTCAACCTATAAACCAGTTTTTCATTCCTGGCACACTGCATGGTCCATTCCTATATTATCTTGTCTTTGGCTTTCGGCATGGAAAAGAAAAACTGCACATCAGTGGGATCACTGAGCGGTGCACAGATTAGACTCAGGCCCTTGGCTTGATCACTTCCAGAGCCATGAATAACAAAAATTAAAAGTTCTTTTAGATTTTCTTAGTGACTAACACCTTGCCTTTCTTCCAGTGTAATCTTGGAAGCATCAACTCACCCTGTTAGAAACTCTGCTCAGGACAGATCCTTCCTGCGAGTAAATAATGTTTGTGGGAACTTCAAATAGAGAGAAGTATGTTTATGCTGCAATTTGAATTTAAAGATTTTTTAAGAGTGGTAGAAAAACTAATTACCAGGAAAATTAACTCAGATCCACTGAGCAGTTAGGGTACTAGCTTGTTAGTTTGAACTGGGTAGGCAAATGAGGGCAACCGGAGTTGCAAATGAAGCCCGGGATTTAAATATCCTGGGCTTCATTTGCATGTTCCTGGGCACCGCCATTTTTAAATCCCCCTTAGTCCGAACTAACTGCCCACGGCTAGACGCGGCAGTTAAACGTTAATTCAAACTAATTCGTTAGTTTGAATTAACTGTTACTCTTCATTCGACGAGGATTAACAGTTAATTCCAACTAATGAGTTGGACACCAAAGGAAAGGAATGGGTAGCAGGCTTCAAACTAGTAACAGAAAGTTGTTCTTCACAAAGCAAAGAGTCAACCTGTGGAACTCCTTGCTGCAGAAGGCTGTGAAGGCTAGAACTAGAACAGAGTTTAAAGAGAAGTGAGATCAAGTCATGGAGGTTGGGTCCATGGAGTGCTATTAGCCAGGGGGTAGGAGTGGTGTCCCTACCCAAAGTTTGTGGAAGGCTGGAGAGGGATGGCATGAGACAAATGGCTTGGTCACTGTCTTCGGTCCATCCACTCCAGGGTACCTAGGGTTGGCCGCTGTCGGCAGACAGGCTACTGGGCTAGATGGACCTTTGGTCTGACCCCGTATGGCCATTGTAAGCTCAGGGTCAGGGGTCTCAGTGGACCACCTTGATTTTCATGCACACCTGCTCCTGGGTGGCCAGGCTGGCAGCTCTCATGCCCTAGACGGCCACTTTCCTGTGCCTAGTGCGGAGGTCATGGATGAGGTCCACGATGTCCACACTAGACCAGGCGGGTGCCCGCCTCTTGCGGTCCTGGGCAAGCTCCCGGGAGCCACCAGCCTGGTCCCGGGAAGAGGGGGAGGGCTGGGGGGCATTGGGTGGCTGGCTCGAGCCGTGCCAGGTGCAGGGTCTGCTGGCTGGGTGCTGGCAGGCTTGCACCTAGCACGGGCACCGTAGCCAGCCCGTGCCTCTTTAAGGGGTCCGGGGCCAGGAGGGGGGCATACGAGTTTCCCTGGTGTTGGCCAGAGTGGCCACCAGGGAAAGCTGGGGAGGGCTAGCCTCCCACTAGTTCGAATTAAGAGGCTACACACCCCTTAATTCGAACTAGTAAGTTCGAACTAGGCTTAGTCCTCATAGAATGAGGTTTACCTAGTTCGAACTAAGCGCTCCGCTAGTTCGAATTAAGTTCGAACTAGCGGAGCGCTTGTGTAGCGCCTATCAAAGTTAATTTGAACTAAAGTCCGTTAGTTCGAATTAACTTTGTAGTATAGACATACCCAATGGGAGTTTTGACAACATTGACAGCAAAAGAAATCAGTTGAGCTCCATCATGTGGAGCTGAGAGGAAAATTTTACCTGTTATGTGAGGTTTTCAATTTGGTTTGGTTTTAGTCGTATGTAAAAAAAGCACTGACAACATGCAGCCAGTAAGGAATAATATAATTGTTTTACTTCTGATCAGCTTCTAACCAATATTCATATGTGGGTAGGTAGGCAAAAATCACATATAATCAGTTAGCAAACCTACATTGTTTGGCTACTCCATTATTTGATCAGCAGCTAAATTATTTTGGAGTTTACTGTCAGACATCAGAGCTTCAAGGCAACTGAAAAAAGAACAGAACAGAAGACCAAAAAAAGCTGGTTGAAAACTGGAGGATGGAACAGCAAAGAAACACAAATAGAGGGAAAATAGGTAGTTTATAGAGAATATTGATTTAAAAAAGATCCTAAAAAGTCTTCCTGGGAACCACCATACTCCTGGGTTGTGAAAAGTAGATTGGTGAATCCATTCAGCCCCTGGACATACTCTTCAGTCTTGAAAAGAAGACATGCAAAGAGTATTTTAAGATATGCCAAGTAGTTCACACAGATGCCAAATCACACCATTTGCAAGCATGACAGAGTAGTCTGGGTTTTCTCTCAAGATCATAGGCTTAGATGAAGTAATTATGCTGTGATTAGTATGTCATTACACACACACACACACACACACACACACACACACACACACACACACACACAAGCACATTCACCTGGACCTAGATCCTTAAGGAAGCAGGCCCCAGCTTTAACAATTTTTGAAGAGTCTGCCATCTTGAAACGTTTTCTCTTCCTTATTCACCTTCCTTTGTGTAAGCGGGGGAATGGTCCCGCTACTGTGGGGAACTTTCCTGGCTTCTATACTACCCCGGTGAAATGGACCAGCAAAAGGATCTGAGTCCCCACTCCCACTTCTTTTACCCAAAGGCCTCTGTGATCCTGAGGGCTCCCCTTCCACTCTCCTGCATAGCAGAGTCCTAAAAATCCCAGCAAGGCTGAGCCCAGGTTTTCTGGGGCTTAATCCCTGACCTTGTAGTTACTTAGGGCAGGGGCTAGACTGTCCCCACTCCAGGGTGCTCTCTTCACACTTTCTTGACCCAGTGACCATTACATACAGTTCAAAGCAAATACAATTTATTAAATAGCAACTGATTAAAAAGAAAAGAATAAGGAAAAAGTGAGAAAGGTTAAATGAGAACACATAGCCCTGCTTTGTAGCACGGGGACATCACAAACAGCAGTCTGTAGAGTATAAGGACAGTTCACAGTCTGTTCCTTATAGGTCCCAGGGCTCTCTCTCAGGCCCTGGCTGTGCTGCAGGGGGGGCTGCAGGTTGGACATGCTCACTCTGGCAGTGACCACGTGACTTCAAGCTCTAGGTGGCAGGACCCCTCTCCCAGCTGGAGTTACAATCCCTCTCCAAGTCTGGCCTGCAGGGCCTCTTGGCTGGTGG